TAACGTCAATATTTGGATGAAAATTGGTGCCTGGGAGTTTTTTGACATGAGAAATTTAATTTTGATGTCAATATGAGTCCGATTTGTAGTTGGCGCCACCTACATGTGTTTTAACTGTTTTAAAGAGTAATAACTTTTCGTCCGTACCTGTATAAAACTACTGAGTGAAAAATATACATCTCCGTGATTTTTTATAGTGTTGGGAAAATTTGAATTAAATAATACGACTAATTCGATAGTAAATTAAAACTAACTAATTCGAATTATCTTTTTCGATATAATCGAGATAAAAATTAGTAGTATTTTATACTATATCTGTGGTAACCGAATTACAAATGAACATAAAACATAATCTCTTATGGACGAATACGAATATTAGTAATTAGTATAGTACTATTAGTAGTATTCTTTCTTTCTGAACGAACTGAAAATTTTCACTTAAACTGATTTATAAAGGAAATCGACAAAGAAAGGAACGATCCGATATAGAAAAATCCAGAAATCATTGTTATTTCCTATACCACGTAGGAATAAATCAGTTTAAGTGAAAATTTTCATTTCGTTAAGAACGAAAGAATACTACTATTATTTGGTTCATTTCCATCTCACCCAAATTTCACCGAACACCTGCCGAACACTAAAATTAATTTTCTTCTTTTATCTAAATAATTATTGATTGCAACTGATAAAATAAAAAGAAATACGAACCCTGTACGAACCGCACGTAAACAAGGACATACTTATATCGTTTTAGAAGAAGCTTTTATTTTAGATATGAGCTTTTCAATAGGAATTGAAACAATCATAAACTCGGCACTTTTAAATTTAAAACTTTAAATTTTGATTTAATTTATTAAACGGCTTCGGCACAGTTAATAGAATACATTGAATAAAGAATATTTTTTTTTATTTTTTATTCAGTGATAGAATATAGGTATGGCAATGGTTCAGAATTTGTTAAAAAATAGCCCCTAGACGAGCACTAGCTGGGACGAATTTATTTTTAGGTTAAATTTATAATACTACTAATTAATTCGAATTATTAATTCGATTGTGAAATATGAATTATTACTAATTATTCGATGGTGAAAATAATTCGATTATTCCCATCACTAATTTTTTACGTAAAAAATGTCTTTTGGTAAAAATCGCTACGAGCAACCGTTCTCAAGATATTTAGAATATACCATGTCATTATTGACAAAAAATAACCACATTGAATACTATAGTTATTTGACTAAAAAAATTAATTTCAGAAATGTTTATTTTTTTAAATTAATCATAAATTTTTCTGCGAAAAAATGATGATAAAACAGTTTCTGTTGAACTTTGACCCAAAAAATTTCAAATTTATGATTTCAGTCTATAATAACTATTTAGTCAACATGTTTAATTTATGTCAATGATGACAGGTATTGATAATTTCGATTCCAAACATCTCAAGAACCATTACTTGTAACGATTTTTACCAAGAGACATTTTCTAAGTAAAAAACGTCATAAATGTATATTCTTTTACTTAAGTAGTTTTATACAGGTATGGATGAAAAGGTATTAACTCTTTAAACCAGTTAAAAACAATGTAGGTGGCGCCCTCTACAAGTATGAGTCATATTGACATCAAAATCAAATTTCTCATGTCAAAAATTATTTGGAAAAAATCGAAATAAAAATGCAATTTCTACACCCTGTATCTCCGAAACTAAGCATTTTAGGACATACATTTATAGAAACTATATTAATTATTTTAATGTGCAGAATATGCTGCCAAAGTTTCCGGAATACAGTTCGGACCACCCTGTATATTCCATTACAATCTTTACAGATTCATTCTGGTTGTCTTCTAGTAAGGATACATTCTCCTGTCGCTTTCTTACCAAAAAGTCTAACCATTAAGTGCCATTGAACTTGCGATTGCTGTCTTTATAGATCTACTACATTTTCACAACCTCCCTGTCTTTGCTTATCAGGTTTTCAGTGCGTTCTACTCTGATCTGTTTCTTCTGCCTCCGACCTGGTGTTTCTTTACAATTCTCGAGATCTGTTGGTCACAGGCGCTATCTTCTATAGCTTGCATTCTGTATAATCTGATTACATTTAAATCCCTTTTTTCCAAAGTTCAGATGTACATACTCTTCCAAGAAGACTCAAATTGTCAAATTTTTCATTTCAAATTAAACCATAATGCTTATTTATTTCAGATGTAACAACAAAAAAATATATATATTTATTTAGTTGTTGTATCAAACATTTTATCTGTTAGTTTAACTGGGAGCTATAAAAACAAGGTATTAGATTAATAATACTTTATTTCTATCATTATCTACTACTGAACTTATAGCAAACCAAACAATTTGTCGGAATTTCGACCACAATTGCAAATTGATAATAGCAAGAATAAAATCGTACAGTCATGATAAATGAGGTACAAAAAATATAATAAGCTATGGCGTCCTCTAGGAATCTAATCTAAGTCATAGAAAACCGTATTAGTCAATATTAATTTGCTCTGTTAAATATTTATTAGCAAAATAAAACACTAAATCACCACAATACACCAAAACACTTTTGCTTTTACACTGGACGCGCGTTTCGCTAACCATGTTAGCAGCTAACCAGCTAACCATCAGCAGATGATTATAAACTAAAATACAATCTACAATTGGAGCGTTTATATACTCGCTCAGTGGGCACAAAGTGGGCGTGGCAAGATCTAGCAAACCGAGTCAGAACCCACCGAGCGTAACAGTTAGATTTCCGCCACTAGAGTAGTAGGAACAAAGAACTTGAAGGAATTGGACCGTTGTCTCTGTTCATACTATCTTTACATTTATTAATTCTGATGCTTTCATATGCATCTAATTGCCTGTAATTTAAGACTTGTTTAATTAATTTAAGTTATTAAGATCTATACAATGTCCTTTATCAACAATATGTTCGGCAACGCAAGATTTATCCGGTCTACCATATCTTATCTGAGCTAAATGTTCTTTAAATCTAGTTCATATTGATCTTCTAGTTTGCCCAACATATTTCTTATTACAATCTTTACAAGAAGATACCCGACCTTTCCAGTAGAGGTCGGTATTTATGAAATTTCTTTATGAGATAAAACTATTTTTACTTAATAAAGGGTATGGCCTCCTCTACTGTTCATTACAGCCCTACATCGTCTCTCTATGCTCCTGATCAGGTTGTCGATCTCTTCTTGAGGTACAGCCTGCCACGCTGTATTCACGGCCCGAACCAGATTCCTACGAGTTTCACGAGGCATACCCATTCTCAAAATTCTTCTTTGGTCCGCGTCCCATACGTGCTCGATGGGGTTGAGGTCAGGAGATTGTGCCGACCAGGGTAAGATGTTTAATTGATGAGCATTGATAAACTCACTTACCACTCTTGCTATATGAGGCCATGCATTTTCAGCATGAGAATGAAGTTTCTCCCAAAATCATTGTCATATGGTAACACGACAGGCTCAAGAATTAAATCACGGTATGTGATTCCTGTTAGAAACCTTTCAAGAGAAAAACGAGATCGGTTTTCGGCCTAACTGGACTGCTCCCCAGACCATAACTGTTCCACCTTGATAAGGGTGCACTTCCTGAACATGATCCAACCAAATAAGATTTCCCGGTTCTCTCCATACCCTAAGCTTTCTCGAATCCGGATGAATTCCAAAGCGTGACTCATCCGTGAAGAGAACATTGGCCCATTGTTCATTCGACCACTGAACATGATCTTGACCCCACAAATATAGCACCTCTCGATTTCCTCTCGTTAAGGGTTGAGCTCTCCAGGGGCGTCTGCTTCTTAAGTTGACCTCTCTTAATCTATTGAGAACAGTGTCAGGACTAACGGTTACATTATGTGTTTCCTGGAGAATTAAACTAAGCTCTGGTGCTGTAAGAGTCGGTCGGCGTCGAGCATTTAATTGTAAAAAATGATCTTGCTGAGGGGTAGTAATGCGATGTCGCCTTGTGTGCCTTTCAGCAACATCACCACTTTCACGGTAGCGTGCACTTAATCGCGATATTACACTTTGCGTTGTATTTAATGCTCTAGCTACGTCGATTTGGCGCATTCCAGCTTCGAGCATACCCATGGCCCTTAGCATTTCGTCTCTGTTAAGATGTCTACGCTCCATAATGTCGTTTAATACTAAACAGAGTTATTTGAATGAATTCTGGCCAGTTATCATAAAAACATAGCCAGTACAGGTTAAATTCGAACAATTGATGCTAGGTGCTTTTTATACATTTGACAAAAAATGCACAAACACTTCTGCAAATATCCAAAATTTAGTAATAACTAGTGTGACTACTTTTTCGTTTCAATCGAAGTAGAAAGAATCGGCCTACAAATATGTGGTTGTTTATTCAAAACATTTATTTTTAACTTTAATAAAATGATATCCCTAGATTTTTCCGGTGTGTGTATTTGGTACAATTGATGTTAGAGATGGAGACCTAACCTCTGTAAAACCTTCTCAGATACTGGCTTTTGTCAAAGATCTCCCTGAGACTGTATGATGAGTTATAACTCAAGAAACTGGGACACAATAGATCTAGAAGGCCGCGGTAAAAGTTTCTCCCTCTGATGCAATTTACAATTTTTTTGCCCTTAATTGACGTCATATTAAAAATCATATTGGCTTCAACACGTTGAGGAGATTCGACGTATCTAGATATTATTACATAGTCTATAGTTATAAAAATCAACCAGCGAGGACGAAATTTTTTAATAGAATTTTTATATTATGAAGACAAATGTGACATGACTTATAATTTTTAGTATTACTAAAAAAATTATGTAACAATATTTCATGTATCTCAGTACTAAAACTTTATAGGTTTTATTTAGGTATTAATGACGGGTTTAACCTCAGGTAAAATGACCGGACCATTAGAAACAAACGATCGCGGACTCGACCATCACCGTTTGACGAAACCACAATCCACCGTCACCGTGTTGCCGGTGTGGGGGGAACCAAAAATTCGCCAAAGTGGGGCTGGCGGGTACCAACAACAACCATAACAACATTCCATCTCTGTCTGTGCCGTGTCCAGCACACTCGTCGCTCTTTAAAAACAATATCGCAGATTACGTAAACCGTACCTGTTGACTGCCTGCCGCTACGCCTATTTTTTAGTGTTGATCCGTTTAGACTGTATTGCGCAGTGTATGTTCTGAATTCTGAATATTTTTTTAAGCGTCGTTTTTTTTTTATAAAACTTATAAACTAATCATGTACCGTCGATTTGTTGCATCGGCTGCAGTAATTGTGCTTTTAATAGGACTAAGTTTGCACCAAGGTAAGTGAGTTTTGCTATTTGTTCAAAACAGGGCGTCCCAAAGAAATTGTTTCTTTTGCGAAATCGCTAATATTGATTTAATTTAATTTTAAATCATCAAAAACCGTTTAAAATAATCGTATTTCTTTATTATTTTTTCCTAGAAGCCATTAAGAATTTTAAGAAAAAGGGACCCAAAGAAAAATTAAAGCGCGAGAAGCGACGTTGCCATATTTGTCATAAATAAACTTTTAGTTAGAGATATCGTGTTTATTTTTTGTTTTATAGTTATACTTTTTGATAATGAAAACAAGCCTAAACTATAAAAAATACTTTATAGATATATTTAAAACAGGGCATTCCCAAAAAAAAAATGTTTTTTGAGTTCGTTAATATTGATTTAGTTTAAGTAGTATTAAGAACTGAGAAACCGCTAGTTATAATCGTGATTTGTTCATTATTTTTTCTTGAAAGCATTAAGAATTTTAAGAAAAAGGAATCCAAAGAAAAAAAGGCGCGACGCGGTGTTGCCATATTTATCCTAAATCGACTTTTAGTTAGAAAAATTTTGTTTATTTTTTTATATTTCTACTTTTTAGTTATGTAGGTATATCAAAGAAGTAAAAAATAAATTAATTTACCTAATTTTTTTAAACAGGCTGACAAAAAAATAGACTTTTTGTGTCCCAAAAAATAATTTAAGGGAAAAATTATAACTGTTTCGTAATCGTTAAAACTTCGTGGAAAGCTCGTCAGAAGAAAGGAAATAGTTTCTCGAGTCCAACAGAAATTGGTATCATTTGTCCCTTCAAAGGCTGCTGCGACGCCGTTTTTTTTTCTCGGTCGTATGGCAAGTTGATTCAACCGAGAAACCATTGAATATCGATGCAGGTAGTTTCTATATTTTTTCGTTAGAACCTTTTAGAAAGACGGGTTAAAATAAAAAAAAAGCTCGAGACTCAGTGTTGCCATATTTATAGTAAATTTACTAATAATTAGGAAGAATCTATTCTTGATAATGAGAGAATATAAAAGATTCAATGTCCCAAAAAAATTAATTTTAATATCCATTTAATTCGGGTTTAATCAACGGTAAAGCCATTAAATATATGTTAGTTTGTTTATTTTTTCCTAGTATCATTTAGAAAAGGAACATATCAAAGTAAAAAAAAGCGAGAGGCAGTGTTGCCATATTTTTTTGTAAATTTATTCTTAATTAGGAACAGCATGTTTATTTTTGCTGATTGGGTTTTTTGACGATCGAGGAATGTTAAAGACGCGAGAAATGGTTTTATATTCATGAAAAACAGAGCGTCCCAAGCACGGACATTGATTTAACTAGTGTGAAATATAAGGTTGTTCTATTTTTTTTTTCTCAGAAATTATTAAAAAAATAAATTAAAAGTAAAAACAGCTGTTTTAAATATATCTATATATTTAAAACAGGGCATTCCCCAAAAAAAAATGTTTTTTGAGTTCGTTAATATTGATTTAGTTTAAGTAGTATTGAGAATTGAAAAACCGCTAGTTATAATCGTGATTTGTTTATTATTTTTTCTAAAAAAAAGGCGCGACGCGGTGTTGCCATATTTATCCTAAATCGACATTTAGTTAGAAAGATTTTGTTTATTTTTTTTATATTTCTACTTTTTAGTATGTAGGTATATCAAAGAAGTAAAAAATAAATTAATATACATAATTTTTTTAAAACAGGCTGGCTCAAAAAATAGTTTATGGGATACAAAAAATAGGCTTTTTGTGTCCCAAAAAACAATTTAAGGGAAAAATTATAACTTTTTCGTAATCGTTAAAACTTCGTGGAAAGCTCGTCAGAAGAAAGGAAATAGTTTCTCGAGTCCAACAGAAATTGGTATCATTTGTCCCTTCAAAGGCTGCTGCGACGCCGTTTTTTTTTCTCGGTCGTACGGCAAGTTGATTCAATCGAGAAACCATTGAATATCGACGCAGGTAGTTTCTATATTTTTTCGCTAGAACCTTTTAGAAAGACGGACCAAAATCAAAAAACAAAAGCTCGAGAGTCAGTGTTGCCATATTTATAGTAAATTTACTAATAATTAGGAAGAATCTCTTATTGACAATGAAAGAATATAAAAGGTGTGGGAAATACATTTATAGGTATCTCTCTAATTAAAACACAATGTCCCAAAAAAAAATGAATTTTAATATCCATTTAATTCGGGTTTAATCAACTGTAAAGCCATTAAATATATGTTAGTTTGTTTCTTTTTTCCTAGTATCATTTAGGAAAGGAACATATCAAAGTAAAAAAAAAGCGAGAGGCAGTGTTGCCATATTTTTTTTGTAAATTTACTCTTAATTAGGAACAGCATGTTTATTTTTACTGTTTGGGTTTTTTGATGATCGAGGAATGTTAAAGACGCGAGAAATGGTTTTATATTCATGTAAAACAGAGGGTCCCAAGCACGGGCATTGATTTAACTAGTGTGAAATATAATGTTGTTCTATTTTTTTTCTCAGAAATTATTAAAAAAATAAATTAAAAGTAAAAACTTAAGAAAACTAAAGCATACATTTTATTTGACACATTTTGTAGTTTCAGATATTGAATAAGAACGAAATACATCCTTTAGGAAATTTGAAAGAGATTTTAATTAAAAAAAATACTGATTTTGTAGCCCCCTCTCAAATTTTCAACAAAAAAATCATAAAGTTGGTAGGCATTACATGACTAAGGACCAGGGTTCGGAACAGCGTAGGGTCTAGATTAACCCTGACAGCTGTAAAAATAGGCATTAACTTGAAATACTTAATGTTACTTGAAACAAACAAGCTATAAACCTAACCCAAAACAAAAAAGTCGCGAGACGCAGTGTTACCAAATTTATTGTAAATTGGCTTTTAATTAGAAAGAGTCTGTTTATTTGTTTTCTGTTTACGTTTTTCTGGTGATGAAAGAATGGCAAAGACGCGAGAAATAGTTTTAGAGTAAATTAGCAGGTTTGTAAGCATAGATTGCGAAATGATTTCGGTTTCGTTTGGCCGACTATGGTGACGTCACCGCGTAATGATTTATCTTTGTAGAGTGAATGAATATGGGTTTTTCATGTAAATACATATGTCGGTGCAGAGTTGTAGAATGTTCTAAACATAGAATATATCCGTTTTAGTTAATTTTGTTCTTGAAATAAAGATAAATGCAAATTATATTTTGAGATATTTTTTTTTCTAAGGAAAATGGCATTGAAACCAAACCTAGACTTATTTTTTGGAGATTTTCGCAAGTCGCAGTCAAAAAATTTTAGACATTCAAAGACTAATTCATTAGATTGGAAAGTGCCCATAAGGACAATGTAAACACAATTTGGCGCTATTCTTGCAACGATCGCGACCCAAAACTTGAAAATTTCGGAGCGGTTCAGCTTTTTCCGCATTTATATCGCCAAATATTGTTTATTCAAATTTATTATTATTTTCTTTTAATTTTATAAATAAAATACAGTGTGTTGCATACAAGAAACTTTATTTTATATAAAGACATGTATGAAATACCTATGAAACATTGGAAACCGACGTTATGCCACAATCCATGATTGTTTTTGCAGTTCACAGTTCACAGCACAGATTTTTAAGTTTTTAACGCCACTTTTTCACAATTATCACGGGTTTGAGTAAATAAAACTTAAATTAAACTCACAAGATAGCAATAATTACTTGGAAAATGGACGCTTTAAACATTTTTCGGAATTTTTTCAATGAGAGCGGTTTAGATTTTGAAAGATTTTATAATTTATGAAGATTCTGACTTTGACAAGAGAAAATTATTTCTGTTTTTATTTGGCAGTTGTTCTTAGCAACCGCTATATAGCAGCATAAAATAATAAATACAAGAAGAAGTGTCAAGTCAATGTTAAATTATGGAAACAGCGTGGCTGCCTGGGTAACTAATTTTCAGATATGGCGGCTGGGACATTTGACATGATATAGACATGACAATTTCAATTTTATGAAGTTTATTTCCGTTTCCGGTTTTTAATGGCGGGCTGTTCAGGAGGTTTAAATGAGGGTTAATATACTTTTTACTCTTTCTAGTAGTAAATAATACAACAAAATTGCTCAAAAATATTTATTTGGAATTTAGAACAATGTAAATATGCAAATCAACACAATTAAAGAGCTATAAACCAATAAACTACTGTATCAATATCAAATATTTAAATAATATCAGAGATGCTGTGTTAAAGTGAATTAGTAAAGTAACAGTGCATTGACTTACAGAAACTTGAAGATACATAAATGTTTTCACAGCTTCACGGGCATAAAACTAAATAACTGGAAGCAGGAAAAAGGCAACCGGAACCCACACAAAACCTGGAATCAAAAAAGATATGTAAAAAACATAAATATAGGTACATAAGACTTTTGTGATTTAAATCAAACAGGACTTGAATGAAAATAAAATGAATAAAAAATATGATACATATACATCTAATACCTCATTTGTATTTTAAAAATAATCTACATACATAGATTTATAGCATTATTATGAAAATACATAATAGGTACCTATGTGATATGTAATTACGCATTTCTGTTCATCTTGTAGAAAATTAGTGTAGGCTAATAATAGTTCAATAATCATAATTTACCTTGTATAACTTGCTTTCAATTGCTCAAAATCACCGATCAGTCTTTAAAGTAGAGATACGGAAAAATCCTTGGCAAAGAATATCCCAAGATCCTTGGGTTTAAAGCTAAACAAATATAAAAACAGTTAATATATTACCTATTTTTACATATAATGTGGCCCATACCTACTACACGCAGAAACGTCGATTTCATCATTTTCTTCATGTTATTAATATCATATATACTTTATTAAAGTGTTAACAAGGAACTTTATATCAAAAAACATCTTTGTACTTATAAATTTCAGCCGAAATATCAGAAACAAACTTCCAATCAAATCTAAACGGCAAAAATTAAAATGGCGCCCGACCTTGCCAGAGGCCTCGGGAGCTGACGCTGACACACAGACAAAA